ATTGTTCTCTAGATCGCACTAATGTACACGTTAGTGTTCTCTGGATCACATTAGTGTACACGTTATTGTTCTCTGGATCACATTAGTGTACACGTTAGTGTTCTGTAAATCGCATTAAGTGTACACGTTATTGTTTTCTAGATCACATCAGTGTACACCTTAGTGTTCTCTAGATCACATCAGTGTACATGTTAGTGTTCTCTAGATCACATTAGTGTACACGTTATTGTTTTCTAGATCACATCAGTGTACACCTTAGTGTTCTCTAGATCACATCAGTGTACATGTTAGTGTTCTCTAGATCACATTAATGTACACGTTATTGTTTTCTAGATCACATCAGTGTACACGTTAGTGTTCTCTAGATCGCATTAATGTACACGTTATTGTTCTCTAGATCGCATTAATGTACACGTTATAGTTCTTTAGATCACATTAGTGTATACGGTAGTGTTTTCTAGATCACATTAGTTTATGCGGTAGTTTTCTCTAGATCACATTAGTGTATACAGTAGTGTTCTGTAGATCACATTAGTGTATATGGTAGTGTTCTGTAGATCACATTAGTGTATACTGTAGTGTTCTCTAGATCACATTAGTGTATACTGCAGTGTTCTCTAGATCACATTAGTGTACACATTATTGTTCCATAGATCACATTAGTGTATAAGGTAGTGTTCTTTAGATCACATCAGTGTCTACGTTAGTGTTCTCTAGATCACATTAGTGTCTACGTTTGTGTTCCCCAGATAACATTAGTGTATACGTTAGTGTTCTCTAGATCGCACAAAAGTATACACCAATGCTATCTATAGAACACTAACGTATACACCACTGCAATCTAGAGTACACAAACGTATACACCAATGCTATCCAGAGAACCCTACCGTATACACCAATGTGATCTAGAGAACACTACCGTATAAACTAATGCTATTTAGAGAACACTACCAAATACACTAATTCTATCTAGAGAACACTACTGTATACACCAATGCTATCTAGAGAACACTACCGTATACACTAATGCTATCTATAGAACAATAACGTGTACATCAATGCTATCAAGAGAACACTAATGTGTACATCAATGCTATCTAGGGAACACTAACGTATACACTAATGTGATCTAGAGAACACTAACATTAGTGTATACGTTAGTGTTCTCTAGATAGCATTGGTGTACATGTTAGTGTTCTCCAGATAGCATTGGTGTATACGTTAGTGTTCTCTAGATAGCATTGGTGTATATGTTAATGTCCTCTAGATAGCATTGATGTACACGTTATTGTTCTCTAGATCACATTATTGAATACGGTAGTGTTCTCTAGATATCATTGGTGTATACGTTAGTGTTCTCTAGATCGCATTGGCGTACACGTTAGTGTCCTCTAGATCGCATTGGTGTACACGTTAGTGTTCTCTAGATCGCATTGGTGTATAAGTTAGTGTTCTCTAGATCACATTAGTGGATACGTTAGTGTTCTCTAGATCGCATTGGTGTATAAGTTATTGTTCTCTAGATCACATTAGTGTATACGTTTCTGTTCTCTGGATTACATTAGTGTATACGGTAGTGTTCTCTAGATAGCATTGGT